GGCCTGCGGGCGGGGGATTTACGAGAATTTCCCCTGCCAACGGGGTCTGGCCCCGAAGCCGGTACACCGGTTGCCGGCGTCGCTAGCCCAGGGGAGAATAGCAGACGGAAGGCTCGGCGCCTGGGTTGCCTTCGGGAGGAACCGGCACCTCGGCTCCGAGCGCCCGTGGCCGAGGGGAAAGGGGCGGCGGTTGGGGGGGGGGGGGTAGGGGTGGTTGGTGGGGGGGTGGGGGGTGGGGGTAGGGGTGGTTGGTGGGGTTGGGGGGGGGGTTGGGGAGGGGTAGGGGTGAGGGGGTGGGGGTGACCCTCCCCCTTCCGGTCCCACTTCCTCTGAGCCCTCCACCCGGTGGGACAGGAGCAGCGGGAGGACCTGTTCCCGGTCGTGGTGGGTGAACGGCCGCGCCGCTAACCCTATACTGGGGGCGCGGCTGGTCCGGGCCAGCGGCTGAGAGAGAGCGAGACGCGCGGGGCGAGGCGGCGGCCCCATGGCGGTCGCGGTCGGGCGGCCTGGGCGCCGCCTTCCCCCGGCCGTGACGGTCGGTTGGCGGCAGGGGTTCGAGCTGGCTGTGGCCGCAGTTGGTCTGCGGAAGCAGGCAGGGCACCGCCGCCGCCGCCTTCCCCGGGCGTGGCGGTGGGTTGGCGGCAGGGGATCGAGCTGGCGGTGGCCGCAGTTGGTCTGTGGAGGCAGGCAGGGCACCGCCGCCGCCGCCGCCTTCCCCGGGCGTGGCGGTGGGTTGGCGGCAAGGGATCGAGCTGGCTGTGGCCGCAGTTGGTCTGTGGAGGCAGGCAGGGCACCGCCGCCGCCGCCGCCGCCTTCCCCGGGCGTGGCGGTGGGTTGGCGGCAAGGGATCGAGCTGGCTGTGGCCGCAGTTGGTCTGTGGAGGCAGGCAGGGCACCGCCGCCGCCGCCGCCGCCTTCCCCGGGCGTGGCGGTGGGTTGGCGGCAAGGGATCGAGCTGGCTGTGGCCGCAGTTGGTCTGTGGAGGCAGGCAGGGCACCGCCGCCGCCGCTTTCCCCGGGCGTGGCGGTGGGTTAGCGGTAAGGGGGCGAGCTGGCTGTGGCCGCAGTTTGTGTGCGGAGGGAGGCAGGCAGGCAGGCAGGCAGGCAAGCAGGCCGGCAGGCAGGCCGTCCGTGGTTTGCCGGGGCCAGCAGCGAGGGGATGATGGCCCATCGGCGGCCGAGGGGACTGTACGGACGGACGACGGACGGCAGGCAGGCCGTGTGCGGACGGTCGCTTGCCGCCGTTGCCGTTGGCCTTGCGAGCGGGCAAGGCCCCTTTTTCGACCACCCGCGCACGCTGGCCCTCGCCTCTTGGCCTCTTGGTCCGGCCGTGCAGCACGTTCCCTGCCTCCGAGCAGCTTCGCCCTGCTGTGTTGCGGGCCGCAGCCGGGCTGCGCGCTCCCGGGCCTCCCGGGCGTCCGGGAGCGCGGGCAAGGCCTGGGTCCCTTGGGCCGTGGCCGTGGCCGTGGCCGTGGCCGTGGCCGTGGGCGGGAGAAGCGGCGAGCGAGGGCGTCCCCGGAGCCCCGGGTCTGTCGGGCGGGCCCCGCTGCCGCTGGTGCCGGCTCCCTCCCCTTCCCGGCAAGGCTGGTTCCGGGGCAGCCTTGTGGTGGCGGCGGCGGCGGCGGGGCCGGGGCTGGTGCTGGTGTGTGCGGGCGCGGCGGAAAGGGGCGTTGGCGGTCGGAGGAGGACGCCTTGGTGGCGGAGCGAGGCCTGGGTTCCCTTGGGCCGTGTCCGTGGGCGGGAGAAGCGGCGAGCGAGGGGCGTTCCCGGAGCCTCGGGTCTGTCGGGCGGGCCCCGCTGCCGCTGCCGCTGCCGCTGGTGCTGGTGCTGGTGCTGGTGTGTGCGGGCGCGGCGGAAAGGGGCGTTGGCGGTCGGAGGAGGACGCCTTGGTGGCGGAGCGAGGCCTGGGTTCCCTTGGGCCGTGTCCGTGGGCGGGAGAAGCGGCGAGCGAGGGGCGTTCCCGGAGCCTCGGGTCTGTCGGGCGGGCCCCGCTGCCGCTGCCGCTGCCGCTGGTGCTGGTGCTGGTGCTGGTGTGTGCGGGCGCGGCGGAAAGGGGCGTTGGCGGTCGGAGGAGGACGCCTTGGTGGCGGAGCGAGGCCTGGGTTCCCTTGGGCCGTGTCCGTGGGCGGGAGAAGCGGCGAGCGAGGGGCGTTCCCGGAGCCTCGGGTCTGTCGGGCGGGCCCCGCTGCCGCTGCCGCTGCCGCTGGTGCTGGTGCTGGTGCTGGTGTGTGCGGGCGCGGCGGAAAGGGGCGTTGGCGGTCGGAGGAGGACGCCTTGGTGGCGGAGCGAGGCCTGGGTTCCCTTGGGCCGTGTCCGTGGGCGGGAGAAGCGGCGAGCGAGGGGCGTTCCCGGAGCCTCGGGTCTGTCGGGCGGGCCCCGCTGCCGCTGCCGCTGCCGCTGGTGCTGGTGCTGGTGCTGGTGTGTGCGGGCGCGGCGGAAAGGGGCGTTGGCGGTCGGAGGAGGACGCCTTGGTGGCGGAGCGAGGCCTGGGTTCCCTTGGGCCGTGTCCGTGGGCGGGAGAAGCGGCGAGCGAGGGGCGTTCCCGGAGCCTCGGGTCTGTCGGGCGGGCCCCGCTGCCGCTGCCGCTGCCGCTGGTGCTGGTGCTGGTGCTGGTGTGTGCGGGCGCGGCGGAAAGGGGCGTTGGCGGTCGGAGGAGGACGCCTTGGTGGCGGAGCGAGGCCTGGGTTCCCTTGGGCCGTGTCCGTGGGCGGGAGAAGCGGCGAGCGAGGGGCGTTCCCGGAGCCTCGGGTCTGTCGGGCGGGCCCCGCTGCCGCTGCCGCTGCCGCTGGTGCTGGTGCTGGTGCTGGTGTGTGCGGGCGCGGCGGAAAGGGGCGTTGGCGGTCGGAGGAGGACGCCTTGGTGGCGGAGCGAGGCCTGGGTTCCCTTGGGCCGTGTCCGTGGGCGGGAGAAGCGGCGAGCGAGGGGCGTTCCCGGAGCCTCGGGTCTGTCGGGCGGGCCCCGCTGCCGCTGCCGCTGCCGCTGGTGCTGGTGCTGGTGCTGGTGTGTGCGGGCGCGGCGGAAAGGGGCGTTGGCGGTCGGAGGAGGACGCCTTGGTGGCGGAGCGAGGCCTGGGTTCCCTTGGGCCGTGTCCGTGGGCGGGAGAAGCGGCGAGCGAGGGGCGTTCCCGGAGCCTCGGGTCTGTCGGGCGGGCCCCGCTGCCGCTGCCGCTGCCGCTGGTGCTGGTGCTGGTGCTGGTGTGTGCGGGCGCGGCGGAAAGGGGCGTTGGCGGTCGGAGGAGGACGCCTTGGTGGCGGAGCGAGGCCTGGGTTCCCTTGGGCCGTGTCCGTGGGCGGGAGAAGCGGCGAGCGAGGGGCGTTCCCGGAGCCTCGGGTCTGTCGGGCGGGCCCCGCTGCCGCTGCCGCTGCCGCTGGTGCTGGTGCTGGTGCTGGTGTGTGCGGGCGCGGCGGAAAGGGGCGTTGGCGGTCGGAGGAGGACGCCTTGGTGGCGGAGCGAGGCCTGGGTTCCCTTGGGCCGTGTCCGTGGGCGGGAGAAGCGGCGAGCGAGGGGCGTTCCCGGAGCCTCGGGTCTGTCGGGCGGGCCCCGCTGCCGCTGCCGCTGCCGCTGGTGCTGGTGCTGGTGCTGGTGTGTGCGGGCGCGGCGGAAAGGGGCGTTGGCGGTCGGAGGAGGACGCCTTGGTGGCGGAGCGAGGCCTGGGTTCCCTTGGGCCGTGTCCGTGGGCGGGAGAAGCGGCGAGCGAGGGGCGTTCCCGGAGCCTCGGGTCTGTCGGGCGGGCCCCGCTGCCGCTGCCGCTGCCGCTGGTGCTGGTGCTGGTGCTGGTGTGTGCGGGCGCGGCGGAAAGGGGCGTTGGCGGTCGGAGGAGGACGCCTTGGTGGCGGAGCGAGGCCTGGGTTCCCTTGGGCCGTGTCCGTGGGCGGGAGAAGCGGCGAGCGAGGGGCGTTCCCGGAGCCTCGGGTCTGTCGGGGGCTGCGAGGGGGCGTGCGCCTTGACGGGCGGGCGAGAGGGCGGCCTGTTTGGGGTGGTGGGGGCGGAACGGCCGCGGCGACAAGTGTATGGGGACGAAGGGGGGTCGCTGGCGTTGGCTGGCTGGCGGGCGGGCGGCGCCGGGGCCGGCGAGCGAGGCCTCGGTGGGCGGGCTCCCTCGCGGCCGCGGACGGGTATCCCGAGCGTGGTCGGCTCCCCGCCGTCCCCGGGCGGGGTTGGTTGTCGTCCAGGCAGGCAGGCCCTGGTCGGGCCCTCCTTCCTCCCTCCGCCGCCTCCTGAGAGGGCTCTGAGGCCGAGGCAGCGAGGCTCGGGGAGGTCCCCAGAGCGAAGCCGCGGTGCGGCGAGGGCGTGGGTCCCCCTGGAGGGGGTGTCCTCCCTGACGAGCGGGCGGGGGCGGCCCCTGTTCGCGGTGGTGTTGGGCGAACGGGCGTTTTGGCAGCTGTAAGGAGGCACGCGTCCCTGCGCGTCTCCGGTCCCTCATCCCCTTCCCCAATGGCCTCCCTCCCTCCCCCGCCGCCCTGTTGCCGAGGCCCTTTGTGGTGGTGTTGTTGGTGCTGGGCGCGTGGAAGAGGTTGTTGGTAGGTTGGCGAGCGGCAGGCGGGGCAGCCTCCTGGCTGCCATGGCCCAGCCGCAGCGCACAGCAAAGGTCGCGGGCTCGCGCCACGCATCCGGCCGGGGGCCGCCGGGGTAACCATTCCCCGTGCCGCCCCCTCTCGAGGTCGGTTGTGGCCCTGCCCTTCACACAGGCGACCGCTGCATTCTAGACGTTCGGAATGGTTTCCGAGTGCCGCCCCCGCGCGGCCTCCCCCTCGCGACGGTCGAGCTCCCTGCGGTTCTTCTCCCTTCGGCCACGTTGTTGCGTCGATAGCGTCGAGCTAGATCCCGGGTTGTGTTGACACCCTTGCGGCGAGAGCTGAAGAAACCCCCGGCAATCACACACCCCTTCCCTTGCGCGCGCGCGCGCGCGTGCGTGCGTGTGCGCGAGGGAGGCTCGGGGGCCCCAGCGCCCCCGCCCCTTCGCAGGCCCTGCGAAGGGCCTGCGACCCCTTTACGACGATGGCAAGAAGCGAAAAAAGAGAGAAAGACGAGACGAGACGAGAAAGGGATCGCGCCCGGGTGGGAGCCTGCCGCGGCCGTTGCTCTGGCCCGGCAATGCTTGTTCTCTCCCACCCCTGCGTGCGGCGCACCCTGAGATGCCATCCGCCGGTCCGCGCCCCTCTTTCCCTGCTGCAACCTCTCCTTCCCCTCCCCTGCCTGCCTGCCTCCCTCCCGCCCTCTCGCTCCCCCTGGCCCCTTTGGGGCGGGGGCCGCGAGCAGCGGCGGCGGGCGCGCGGGCGGCGCGGGCGTGGGAGCGCGCGGTAAAGGGAGAGGGCTGCGCGGGCTGGCCCTGCGAAAAGCCGAGGAACAGGGTCGAAGCGAGCGAGCGAGCCAGCGAGAGAGTCGAAGGCGACGACGACGACGACGAAGGAGGAGCGAGCGCCGTGGTGTGGGTGGGTGCGGCGTCGGCGGAGCAGCGATGCAAATGCGCTGCAAATGCCGCCCCCCCCCCCCCCCCCGCGCTCCTCCTGCCCCTTCCTCCTGAAGCCTTCCCCTCCTCCTCCTCCTCCCGCTCGGCCCAGCACGAACAAAGAAAGAAAGGGAGACGGACGACGACGACCAGGACAGGTCGCTTTTCGTTGGTCTTCTCTTGCTTTTCTTTTTTCCCCCTATTTCTACCTGGTTGATCCTGCCAGTAGTCATATGCTTGTCTCAAAGATTAAGCCATGCATGTGTAAGTACAGGCCGACTTAAGGCGAAACCGCGGACGGCTCATTAAATCAGATATAACTCATTGGATCTCTGCTGAACCGCACTACTTGGATAACTGTGGTAATTCTAGAGCTAATACATGCCTTTGTAGTCTCCGACCGCGAGGGAGGAGCGCTTTTATTAGACCAAAACCCTCGGCGGCCGGCCCTTCAACCGGTCGGCCGCGATCTCCTTGGTGAATCAGAATAACTTTCGCCGAGCGCACGACCCCTCCCGTAACCCGGGTTGGGTCGGCGCCGCGTCCTGCAGGCGTCTGCCTTATCAGCTCTCGATTGTAGGTTAAACGCCTACAATGGCTATCACGGGTAACGGGGAATCAGGGTTCGATTCCGGAGAGGGAGCCTGAGAAACGGCTACCACATCTAAGGAAGGCAGCAGGCGCGCAAATTACCCACTCCCGGCACGGGGAGGTAGTGACGAAAAATACTGTTGCGAGCCCCGAACGGGGCCTCGCAATTGGAATGAGTACACTTTAAATCCTTGTACGAGGATCGAGTGGAGGGCAAGTCTGGTGCCAGCCGCCGCGGTAATTCCAGCTCCACTAGCGTATATTAAAGTTGTTGCGGTTGAAACGCTCGTAGTTTGACTTCTGCTCCGGACCGGCGGTCCGCCTTAGCGGCGGCTACTGCCGGGTTCCGAGCTGTGTCCCCGCCGGCGCGCACGGGGTTTTTTATGCCCTTAACCGGGTGTCCCCCTGTGGCCGGCACGTTTACTTTGAAAAAATTAGAGTGCTCAGAGCAGGCTGGTCTTTGCTTACAGCCCGAATGGTCGTGCATGGAATGATGGAACAGGACCTCGGTTCTATTTTGTCGGTTTTTCGGAACCCGAGGTAATGATTAATAGAAGCAGACGGGGGCATTCGTACTGCGACGCTAGAGGTGAAATTCTTAGACCGTCGCATGACGACCTACTGCGAAAGCATCTGCCAAGGATGTTTTCATTGATCAAGAACGAAAGTTAGAGGTTCGAAGGCGATCAGATACCGCCCTAGTTCTAACCTTAAACGATGCTGACTAGCGATCCGCCGCAGTTATTCCCATGACCCGGCGGGTAGCTTCCGGGAAACCAAAGTCTTTGAGTTCCGGGGGAAGTATGGTTGCAAAGCTGAAACTTAAAGGAATTGACGGAAGGGCACCACCAGGAGTGGAGCCTGCGGCTCAATTTGACTCAACACGGGGAAACTCACCAGGCCAGGACACCGGAAGGATTGACAGAATGAAGGCTCTTTCTCGATTCGGTGGGTGGTGGTGCATGGCCGTTCTTAGTTGGTGGAGTGATCTGTCTGGTTAATTCCGATAACGAACGAGACTCTAGCCTGCTAAATAGTCGACGGGTCTCTCGCCCAGCCTTCGCCCTCGGGCGTCGGCTTCGGTTCCCCTAAACCCGGCCGTCGCGCGGGCCTCCACCGTCGGTTGGTTAGCGCCGCCGGCGGCGCGCCCCGCGGCGCCGGAAACTGGCGTCCGCTTCGCAGTCTTCTTCTTAGAGGGATAAGCGGCAGCAAAAAATATACTAGCCGCACGAGAGTTTGAGCCATAACAGGTCTGTGATGCCCTTAGATGTTCTGGGCCGCACGCGCGCTACAATGGAGAGTTCAGCGAGCTGTCCCTGCTCCGAGAGGAGCGGGTAACCTCGTGAAAGCTGTCCTTAAAGGGGATTGGGGCTTGCAAATGTTCCCCATGAACGAGGAATTCCCAGTAGGCGCAATTCACCAGATTGCGCCGATTTAGTCCCTGCCCTTTGTACACACCGCCCGTCGCTACTACCGATTGAATGGTCTAGTGAGGGCACCGGACTGGCGCCCTTGGAGCCGCTACCGCCGCCTCGGCGGCGGCCAGCGCCCTCGGGTCGACGGAAAGGTGTCCAAGCTGGGTCATTTAGAGGAAGTAAAAGTCGTAACAAGGTTTCCGTAGGTGAACCTGCGGAAGGATCATTAACGAGTGCTACTACCAGCGAGCGAGCGAGCGAGCGAGCGAGCGAGCGAGCAGCAGCAGCAGCACCAGCAGTAGTAGTAGTGGTGGCGGGCCGCCGGCCCCCCTCCCGCTGCCGCCTGGCGCCGCCTGCCTGCCTGCCTGCCTGCCGAAAGAGGCAACTCTCTCTCTTACAACCCGAGCGGCGGGTTGGGCGCGAGCTAAACGGACGGACGGGCGGACGGGCGAGCGAGGCAGCGAGCCAGCGGGCGAAAAAAGGAAGAGGGCGGGATTTGGGGTTGGCATCTGCCCCCCCCCCCCCCCCCGATCTCCCCGCTGCACCTCCTCCTCTTCGTCCTCGTCCTCCTCATGCTCGTGCCCCCTCCGCGGGGGGCTCTCGGCACGGCTCCCCGGCCTTTTTCTTTTCCCCGTCCGGAAGGGCGGGGAGGAGGGGAAGGCCGAACCCAGAAGTCTTTGTCAGCCCCGCCTGGGTCACCGGGGCCTACGAGGTCAGCGACGGCGCCGGAAAAGCGGCACACCCCCCTGTGCCGCGGCCCGGCGCCGTGGGCTACGCGTCTTCTCAGAGCGCAGGTTACCCTCCCCTTCGAGGCCCTTTGAGTGGGAGGCCATCGAGTAGTAGTGTGAACTCGAAATGAGATAAACCCAGCAAAGACTCTTAACGGGGGATCACTTGGCTCGTGGGTCGAGGAAGACCGCGGCAAGAAGCGATGTTTTGGTGGCTATCGCAATTCTCCCGTGATTCCATCGACGTGTCGAACGCACATTGCGGCGGCCCTGTGCCTTCTTCGAAGGACGGCTGCCACCTTCCCTCGAGTGTCGTGACGTTGCCTCCCGGGAGACAGTACGGACGGCTGCGGGCTGCTCGCTGCCGCGAGCTCTCCGCCCGTCCTCCGGGAAGGCCGCTACGAGAATCTTTTGAGAGTGAGGCGAAACAGCGCCGTGTAGGTGCCGCTCTCCTCCTCCTCCCCCTCCGCGTGGGGGGTGGGGGGAGAGCGGTTCCGCAAGAGCACAACGGGGTCCGGGGCCCGTCGACCGGCTTTGCCGGCCGAGGGCTCCGTTCTCGACCGTGCCGGAGGTGCGGGAGCGGCGGCGACCGCGGGCGGGCGGCGCGGGCGGCGGCGCGGCATGTGCCGCCTCGCCTGCCTGCCTGCCTCGCCTGCCTTGCCTGCTGGCTCTCGCGCCGGCGATTCCGCCCTGGGGAGTTCGCCGGACCAGAGAGGGCGCGGGTTCCCTGAGCCTTTGGGCAGGAACTCGCTCCCGCGTCCGGACGTTCCCTCAAGACGTGGAGGGTTCGCTCTCTTCCGTCGCCGTCGGCCCGCAGGGACGGAGGGACGGGCGCCCAGTCGTCCGTGATCCTCCTCCCGACGGCCGGCCTGCCACTGGCCCAAAGGCGAATAATGTTCCGAAGGAGCCGGAGAGGCGCTCTCCCAAAAGCCGAAATTAAACCAGCCGGCCTGTTGCCCGGTCCCCCTCCCGGGGCCAGGCGATCCGGCCGTGCTGGAGGGGCAAGGGCGCACCCTAGTGACGCGAGATCGCGTAGGTGGGGGCCTCTCCGCGCCACGAAACCTGCTTGCAAACGCCGACTCACTCGCCACCGTCCCCTCCACCAGTTCTTCTTCTTCTTCTTCTTCCGCGAAGGGAAAAAAGGGCCTCGGTGGGCCGTCCCTCCTCCTATTATTAATCTGTGCCGAAAGGAGGCGAGGGAGAAAGAGAGGGCCTGGGGGGCTCGGGGCAGGAGAGGAAGCGGGCGCAGCATCCTGAGCAACAGCAAACAACAACCACTACGCCAAGCCGAAAGGTAGCGGTAGTTGCACAGAAGGTTTCGCGGCAGAGCAGGGCGGCGCGGAAAAAAAAAAAAGCCGGGATTTGAGAGAAAGAAATCCGAAGAGAAGGAAGAGCGAAACGATACCAAGCAAGCAAGCAAGCAAGCAAGCAAGCAAGCATGACGACAGCAGCAG